GACAACTGCAATAGCATAATCAATAAAATATATTTAAAAATAAAAATAAAAAGTTTGCCATTTCTTGCTCTTCCTGTTTTTCTTCTGGCACCTGTATGATTCAGATGTTGGAACATGTAAAGTTGTCCCAGAGTTTCCTAAGTCTCTCCTCATATTTTTGAATTTTCGTTTCTTCATTGTGCTCTGTTTGAATGTGTATTTCTTCCTTCTGACCCAAATTGTTGATCTGAGTCCAGGTTTCCTTCCTGTCACTGTTAGTTCCCTGTATATTTTTCTTTATTCACTTTGTGTAGCCTTCACTTCTTTATTTTGCGGCCATACTCAATTATTTCTGTGAACAACCTGACTACCAGTATTTTGAACTCTGAATCTGATAGGTTGGTTATCTCCTTGTCACTTAGTTCTTTTTCTGGAATTTTTATCTATTCTTTCATTTGGGACATATTTCTTTGTCCCAGCACACCTGCTGTGTTGTAAAGGGTGGAGCCTTAGGTATTCACCAGGGTGGGGTGACCCACTTCAATGTTGTGGCTCTATATGTGGGGGAGGAGTCTGAGAGGGGACACTGCTGCTTTTAGTCACTTCCCCCTCTACCCACAAATGAATTGCAGCCTTAGAGGTGCTTTCATGGTGCCGATTCCTAGGTGGGTTGGCTTGAGTATGTGGTAGGACCCCGTGGGCCCCTCCAATGGACTCTCCTGTGAGACTGGCAGTTTCTCCAGCTGCCACAATCCCCACAGTTTTTACATCCAGAGGTTTTGGGGCTTTGGTTTCCTGCACGGGAACCTTGGGTTGTGCACTCTGTCCCACTCCCTAGTTGTTCCTCCCAGTTTATTCTCACATGAATGTGGAGCCAACTGGTCTACCAACCACCACCTTGCCACGTGTTCCCTCTGCCCTGGCTGCCCGCCGTTGCCCCTTAGCAGTCTGGATGAATATTTCTTCTCTAACTCCTTGGTTCTTGAACTTCTATACCGTTCAATTTTCTGGCAGTTCTGGTTGCTTTTTGTTTTTTAATTGGTTGTTACTCTTCTTTTGGTTGTGTGAGGAAGCAAAGCATATCTACCTGTGCCTCCATTTTGGCCAGAACTCTCCTCAAGTATTTAGTCTTTTTAAATCCTTTACTTGTTTCAACAACTATTTAAATATAGTTCATATACCATACAGTTCACCCATTAAAATGTATGATTTTATGGTTTTACTATATTCACAGATATGTGCATCTCCAATCAATTTTAAAACTTTTTCATGACTTCAGAAAGAAATCTTATTATCTTTAGTATTATTCCTCCTTTCTCCTTTCCTCCCACATACCCAGGTACAAGCAGCCACTGATATATTTTCCATTTTCTCTGTTTTGGACATTTCATGTGAATGGAATCATACATGATCATTTGCGCCTGGCTTTATTCACTTAGCATAATGCTTTCAAGTTTCATCCATGTTGTAGCATGCCTTAATACTTTTGTCAAACATATTACATTGTATGGATTCACCATGTTTTGTTTACCCATTCATCAGCTGATGGACTTTTGGGTTGTTTGCACCTTTTCGCTTTTATGAATACTGAACACTACTGCTACGAACCTTTGTTTACACGCTTTGGGGTGGACATGTGTTTTCATTTCTTAGGTGGAATTGCTGGGTCATATGGTGACTCTCTGACAGTCTGAGAAGCCAGACTATTTGTCAAAGTGGTGGCATCCTTTCTTATTCTCACCAGCAACCCATGAGGGTTGTACTTGCTCCACATTCTCAGCAACACTTACCTGACCTTCCCATTCTAGTAATTTCTTTGTGTCTGTTGCTATATCATAGTGTTTTTTATTTTCATTTTTTCCCAGTGATGTTGAGTATCTTTCCATCTAATCTATTACTTTTAATGGCACTTTGGGAAAGAAACAGATAGACAAATGCGTCTGATCTACTGTGTTAAAATTATTTTCACGTGTGACAGGAAAAAATTCTAAATATTCAAAAACACATACAGCAATGCCAATTCTGTAGTTTGCTACATTTATACATTTAGCATGATGGTACAGTTACCGTGTGATTAAGGAACAGCAATACTGCACACTGTATTTACTCTGTAAGATTACTTCTTGCATGTAGTTGAGAAAATAATTCAAATGACTCCTCAGGGCTGAGTAAAAGGCAAAGCAGAAGTGATCGCCAAAGCCTTTGAAGCTCAATGCTGTTTACATCTGTGGTGCATAAGTGTGTTCTACATAGGATAAATATGAAAGAAAAATGAAATGCTGACATGGGTACATAACATATGTCTGAGAGATGGATGGCAAGATGTTTTGATGGGCTTTTCCACTTTATCATATTGTAAAAATGGAATGTATTACACATGCAAAATGATAATTGTGAAAGTTGGGTAAGGATACATGGGAAGATATATTGTTCTATCTGCTCTTAGGAATGTTTACACATTTCTGTGTTAAGAAGCTTTAACGAAATAAAAGATGTGCATCTCATAAGGGGGGCGGGCAAACTGCCACTGGTAGGTGCATCAGTCCGTCATGACAGGGATTTAGCCGTCTCTCCATAAGATGATTTCAGGAAGTGTCATTCTTTGACATTGGGAAGGAAACGACTTTTCATATAATAGAAAAGGAAAAAGAAAGGAATGATGTGAAAGTGATTTTTTAAAGTGTTTTGTCGACAAGCTCCCATCTCATGGCTTCTAGTTCCTCTATGGACAGTGGTCCAGCACAGCTGTTGAGCAAGTAGAGATGGCCTTGGTTTGAGGAAAGTGAGATTTGAGATACACTTGAGTAGTTTTAGGGAGAGAATGGACTGAGGAAACAGGGACCTAAACTCCAACGGCTTTGTTCACATGTTGGTAAGCATGGGATCATTATTTGTGGGATGAATGAATGATTTCCAGGTAGTTGTTGGGCACCAATAGAATCGATTGGGAGGTTTTTGTGCAATACTGATCCACTACTTACAGGAAGACATTTCTGGAAAAACAGAGTTGAAGTTTTGCCAGACAGGAAAGATTAAAGGGGACTGGAAAAGGCCCATTTTAAATGTTAGTGACCTGATAGGCCATCAAGTCCACCTTGGTAGGGAAGGGAGACAAAACCTTTGACAGGAAGTACGTGGAAAAATGAAAGAGCTGGAGTTGAAAAATGAACAAGGGGCATCTATGCTGGAAGGACAGAGGACGAGGCCACAGCACAGGGTGGAAGGTCAGACTGAATTATTCCCAATGGCAGAGGCGATCCTGGTAATGAGCTCCATATTTAGCAGTGACTGCACTCTAGAGGAGCTAAAGGCCCTGAGATGAGATGGTGTAGGAACTAAGGGGCTGGTTATTGGCTGCTTAGTGAACATGGATGTTAGAGCCTCCCCTGCCTGCTCACCTCCTCCAGTTCCTTGCTTTGGGCCCCATTCCACATTTGTCTCCCTACTCGGGCTTTCACAAAGTCTGCATTTTTCCTGTGATCCTAAGCTTCCGACATTGTAAGGTTAATGGCGCAAGTCTGGACAAGATGGGACGAGTGTGGTAGTGAAAGGATCTGTGGTGGACATATGATTTCTGTGTTTCGTTTTCTCCTCTTTACATTCAGGGTTCACTGGGCTTACTAGGAAAACTTCGTTAAGTGCTCACTGGGACACTCACTCCATTTTTGGGTTTCAGTCTGTATGAGTGGACTTGCCTTCCCACCAGACTGCTATGTGTGCCAGTTTGGCAAAAAAAAAAAAAGAAAACAAACATTCCATGGAGGTCCATGGCGAGCACTGAAATATCCGTAACCCTGGTGCATACTCTAGAACTCACCTCTGCTTCATGAGCTGCTGGTGTTTGGGAGACTGCAGCTCCACCAAAGCCATGAATGTCAGAGGGGCATCTCCACCCTACCAGCTGTGCTGTTCACATGAAGATCCTGTATATCTCCCCTTTCCCAAAGTTCACCTTTCCCCAAAACGGAGATGCCATCCCTGCTAATACTGTTTCGGTTCTCAAGGATAGCACATGTATTTTTGGTGTAAGACATCAGTATGCTGTGCAGGGCTTTGATTAGTCTCGGCAGGTGAAGCTGAGAGCAAGACAGGATCCCTGTGTGGGGCTGAAGGGACAGAAACCTTTGTCCACCAGCAAAGCCACTCTTCCCCCTCTTTTTTGTTCTTACTTCCTCATCACTGTAAGGCATGTTTCCTTATTTTCACATTTATTTCACCTGGGGAGGCAGATGGATGCCTGGTTAACATTTCTACCACTGATAGCTGAGTTATGCTTTTGCTCAGCAGCAAAAAATAAAAGTCATCAACCCAGAAGCCTGAAGAAATACCCAGCCACAGGGACCACTTCCCCAACACATGACTTCCCCAAGGTGACTTTCCAGTAGAACTACATAAGTGTCAAGGTTAAAGTATGTTTCCCCAACACATGAACATGACCCACAAGGAAGATTTTTAAGCAGTGTTTATGCTGTTCCTAGACTCAATCCCAACCAGCCCAATATGGCCCCATACACTCCAGTTCAGGGTTCACCCACCTGTGGGATCCTTTGGTCAAGGACTTCTAAATAATGATTAAGCCACTGTCTCTACTCCACTAATATTTTCTGGAAAATATGCCTGTCCTTGACCTTTTTCAGATATAGAAGGCCTGTCTTGCCTACCATCCAAAAGGATGTAAAACATTCCCTGAGGACGAAGGTGTGGGCTGCTGTCCATGCTCATGAAGGCTAAGCTATGAGATAGGACCCAGAGCCCATCTCCTCAAACTTCATCAGGGAGGCAGTGGGCTCTGGGGGAGGCCACATGATGTTTACTTCTCAGTGAGAGTTCCCGGGTACTGGTCACTTTTGGAAGCAAGGGAAGCAATTAGTAGCAGCTGAACTCCTTCCTTTCCCTCAGCACAGGCCCTGAGATACCCAAAACCCATGCCCCAACACACTACACAGGACAGACTGACTGTTAGTAGAGACATTTATTAGGCAAATGAGTATTTTGTCCAGGAAAGGACTTTCCTGGAAATGCTACACAAGCAATTTGGGTGTAAGAAACAGATATGGACGTCTGAACACAGTGCCTTGTGCAGTGGTGGGAGCAGCAGGCGGCCCCTGGGCAGGGTGAGGCCTGCAGGTGGGGTTTGGGTGATGGGTCACAGTCCCCCTGCAGGGCAGAGATCGGGTGCGCTGCTGATATAAGCGCTGGTCCTTTAATGCCCCATCTTGCTGCGGGTGTCTGCCTTCATTCCTAGTGTATACGACACTTGTAGGGGTTTGACCAGCAAAGACAGCTGCTTGGCGGCAAGACTGATGACAGGCTGGAGGCCTGGGGTTGAGAGCAGGCCGCTGTACAGGTTCCACCTGGGTCCACGCTGCTTTCCTCTGCTGCACTGTCTCAAACCTCACGGCACGTGGAAGGGGCTCCTGAGGGCAGGCGGTGTTTCCTGGGTGCCGAGGCCCCAGTCTCTCCTCTGGGAACTTCCCAATGTCTGACATGGTTTTCTGGGTTTCTGTCATCCCCATAAAGGCAGCCCTGCTCCTTACTGGGCCTCTGCTCTGTGCAGGTGACCTGGGGCTGCCCTTCAGCTGGGGGTCTTCGTGATTTTTGCTGTTTGGCCAAGGTAGAAGTTTTTGGAAAAAAACCTTCAGTTTATTAATAAAAAGACTATCGGGAGTACACTGTCTCTTCTCTGACAGGGTCTGGGAAGACTTGATCCCAACTGTCTTCTCTAATGCCACCTGAGTAGGTAATCTCCTTCTTCCAGGTTGGGATGTTACCACCCCTGCATCCCCTCCACCAAGCTCCTGTGACTTGGAGTCTTTGGCGCTTACTTTCTTTAAAGCTGGTGGGCAATTCTTATCTGGACACAACCTTGAGGTCAGCTCAGGGACCCAAGGCTCCTGCTGTTTCTCCACACTGACTGTTTGCTCCCCCAAGGGGACGTGCAGCACCTGGGCAGCTGCCATGTCCACACCGGAGACACCCTGGGCACCAGGCAGGGAGGCTTGGTTAGTCTCATGGGACATGTCAGTGGGTTGGCCTTGGGTCTGTCCATTCTCTCTCTTCTCCACTTTAGACTTTAACTCATCATTGTTAGAGTCTGATGACTCAGGGTCTAAGTCAGATCCTAAGTCAGTTGTTCCTGTGGTCTTATTCACATTTATTTTTTGGGAAGCTCCTGGCGTTTTATTTTCCGAGCTGTCACTGGTTTTGTACTGAAGAGCACTAAGCTCCTCAGCCTTGACTATCTCCCTGGACGTGTTGTACGTGGCAGCAGGTTCTGCTTTCTCCTTCCTATTTCTGCCCAGTTGCATTTCTGTTTTGTTGCTAGTGTTCGCGTTCTTGTCCTCTGGGTCGTGTCTGTCCCCAGCTCGCCTTGCAGGCAGCTCTGGGGGGTGAGTGTTTGCTGTTGGAAGATGTGTCTGACTTGTTTTGACACGGTTGCTGTTTGTGACAGGCAGAAGAGTCTGCCTAATGGTCTGAATCTCTTCTATAAGCCGGTGTTTGATGTCAGAGGGTGATTGTCTCAGGGTGCCCTGTCCTTCCTTGCCCACAAGTGAGGTGGCAGAAAGAGAAGAATTCAGGACACTGGCTGAGTTTTCTGTGCCCACGTTTACGTTTTCTCCATGAAGGGATTTAGGGCTTCCCCTCAAGGGCATGCTGCCCCCAGATTTGAAGTTCACCATTGAAGTCAGGTTAGTTGAGGAGGAAGAGTGGCGATGGAACGAGGAGTGGGATGAAGTCTCTTTCAATTTAAAGATTTCTCTTATTTCAAGGAATTTGGAGGGAAGGTCCTGCAATGTCCCTGTACGAAGGTCGGTAATATGAGCTTCCAGCATCTTCTGTGCACCAGGCTCAAGGAAAGAAAGCTCCTGAGATGTATTCAAGTAGAAGTCCCCATTCACTGATGGCAGCAAAGTACTCTGTTTTCCTTCATGGTCGGATTTTACAGAACGAGTCTCCTCAATGGCGTGCCAGGAACCATGCACAGTCTCGGGCAGCTGACCCTCACTGATCTCCTCAAACTTCCTGCTCACATGTACTTGCAGGAGCTCTGCCAGTTCCCTCGAACTTTTGCTCAGCCCTGCCACCACTGAGTTTTCTTCCGACCGACTCATTGTGGCTAGGTCCTTCTCAGAGTCAGAGCCCGAGTTCGTATCTGCAGAGCTCTCTGAGTCACTCGACGAACCTTTTGCATCACTGTCTTGGCTGTCTCCTTCATCTGTCCCCTCATCCTCCTCTTGCTGAAACATTTCTGGGCCCCACTCATGGAAGCTTCCGGGTTGGCTGCTCTGGCTCTTATAGGCAGAGATCCATGAGAGGCCGTAACAGCTCCTTGACTCACATATGTCTTTGCGGTACTTTCGAGGCTTCATCAGTGACAGAGATTCGAGGATCCTGTGGGGCAGGCCCCACCTGTGTTGGATGAGCCTCTTTTGAAGGTGATGCTCAAATTTCTCTCGAAGTTCACTGCTGACAGGAAAATCTCCAGGAGCGATGGAGATTGGAACATAGGCCTTACAGGGCTGCCTGTGAGGAAGGGTGGGAGCTGAAGGACAGAAGTCTTCCCTAGACTTTTGAACAATGGAGGGCAAGCCCCATAAACTTCCTTGTATCTTCTGCAACACATTCCACTCTAGGCATTGCATTTCAGATGAGGTGAGACAGTCTAATTCATTCTGGGGTCCATGGAACTGTACTCCACAGATCCTATTCTGGGGTACAGGACTGGATGGTAGGATGGGGAGTGGGGGCTGAAGGTGGGCCTGGGGTTGGATCTGAGTGAGAGGTAGGGGCTGGGATTGGGGCAGGGTTTTAGGCAGGGGCTGGGATTGGACTGTGAGCAAGGAAGGAGGTAGGAGATAAGGAAGTACTGGGGATTCCTGGCCTGTAGAGGCATTAGAAATGCTATTGAAAACGAAGATTGAGGAACAGTCACCCAAGGCATGGAGAGCAGAGGACAAGGACTCACTGTGCAGAGATGGAAGACCCCAGAAAAGCTGGACAAGTTTTTGCTTTAAATGGTCCTCCCTGCTCTTAGGATATGAGTCCTGCTGTACCGAGTCATGCTCATCAGGGCCGAGAAACAGCAAGCGTCTAGGATCTATAAGTTTGGCAGCAGCGTCTCCCGCAAAAGAAGTCTTTGTAGAATGGAGGGCAGGAGACTCTAGATGGCAATTACGTTGTGCCAGGTTCGAAGAGAATGAGTCTTTTGGCTGAGGTGCAGAATGGTGCACTGGGAATTTGGACTCCAAGGGAGGAAAAGGCTCTAGAGGTAGAGTTTGAGCCGGTGGTGAAGGTGAGAAAAATTTACCCAAGGGGGTCCTTGGGTTGGGGGAGATAAGAGAGGGGGCCGGTGGGAGAGGCTCAGGCAGATGAAGTGGGATTAGGCCTCTTGGAGGGTCTGCTGAGGAGGCAGGAGACTGAATGAATGATGGTTGAGTCACAGGAGCTGTGGAAGCCAGAGGGAACACAGAGGCAGGAGAATCTTCCAGGGCCTCTGGCAATGGCAGCGGACTGAGCTCAGCGATTGTGTTCTTATACACCTCACAGGAGGGGTCCAGACATGAATGCTGATGAAGGCAGTTGGTATCATGATGCTGGCCCAGGGGCCTGCAGGAGACAGGAGGTACAAAGCTGCAGCCAGGACCACATCAGGGAAAGAAGGACCCACTGGCCTGAAGGGGGTGGGCCACCTGAAGCCTACTGCCCCTTCACATTGCCCCACATCCGTGACTTCACAATGCACTCAGTAGCACTCACCCCATGGCACTCACTCACATTCCCGTTCCTATGGCCACCCCCTCCTGTGACTATGGAAGGCTGCATTGTACCCCTGGAATTGCATAGAACATGCTAAAGAGGGATCAGGAAAAAGGGGAAAACTACTCACCTCTTCAGGATAGAATTCAGCCTCCTATTCTCCTCTTCTGTCCTGTGATAATATCTTGAACCTGGTAAACCGAGGGTGTGGGTTACATGTAGTAAAGGCAGATGCATAGGTACTCCACTGGAGTCCCCTAATGGGAGACCTTCTGGTTAGTAGTCTCTGAAAGCCCCAAGAATTGGTAGATGAGGCCAAATGCTCAAGAATGTTTATAAGGTCCCGTGTGTGTTGCTTCATTTATAAGCTACTTTTATATACATTATCTCATTTGATGCTCAAAACCTCTCTGGGAAGCAGAGAGGTCAGTGGTTCCAACAATGAGGAAACTAATCAGCCTGAAGCCAAGGTATTTCACGAAGTCAGGGAACAGATGTTCTGACTTTGGACACCTCCTGGGACACACCCATTGCCCAGGTCCATCACTGCCTCCTAGTAGGGACCCGGGGGCTGCAGAGCAGGGCATCTGAGAAGTCTCAGGTTCTGACTGTCTTTCCATGAACCTCCCCTCTGAGGGCTCTGTTTTCTGAGAGAGACTCTACCTCCCAACCAGCAGGGATCATGGACCTGGTACCTTATGGAAAAGAGAGAGAGAGGGTCCTTCTTGGGGAGCTAGAGTGGGATGGGCAGCACCTTACCTTTTTGTGTCCCACCTTTCCTTCTCCTCTTGGCTCTGCCCCGATGCTGAGAACAAGAAGAAATAAGTGAGGGGTTGGGACTCATTTCCCTCACTCCTCTCCCTAGGAAAGTCAGACATTTACTGTCCAAGAATAATGTCCCTCTGAGCCAATGGACCTCATTTTAATTGGTAAAATTTTGTGCTTTTTTAAACCAATTTTTAAAGCTTTAAACTGTTTTTAATTTTTCTTCTTAGAAAGACTCAAGGATAAAGTTTTATCTATGAGGTCCGTACTCCATACTCAGATGTCCTGTACTCACTGTGGGCATATGATCTGAGGCCCACAGTTGACTCTCTCTTCCCTCAGACAAAACCCTATGACTTGAGATGGAGCAGCTCAGGCTGCAGCCTCTGCTCAGAGGCTCAGCATTGCTCTCCTCCTCAGCCCAGCACAAAGGCTTGGTCTACTGATGCTTGACAGGCGAATATGACTCATGCTAAAGTGCTGATTAACTCTGACGTCTTGCAGAGATCCCAAAGCATCCAGAACTAGGGAATCACTGTATTTGGGATTTTAGCCAGAAACCTGCCACTACACCCAGATGGTGTGTGAGCTTCATATGGTAACCTGAGTGCTCCCTGAACCCTAACCCTGCCTGGTCTTCCCCTGGAAGAGTGACGTTTTATTCTCTCCTCAGACATCCCATCTTTAGTGTGTTTCTGGCTCAAGCAAACTCACACAGAAATGGAAAGAAAGGTTAAGTATCTCTTTATCTATTTGTTGGGGCTCGCTCAGGGCTCCTTACCTTTTGAGTGTGTTCATTTTCACAGCAGGTTGGGGCTGATGGAATGACCCCCAGGAAATACAAAAGCAACAGGAGCAACCACAACAAGGTGATGTAAATTACGTTGCGAGTCTTCTGTTCAGGTTCTGGGAAGAAGCTCAGATAGAGCTCGTGAAGAAGGCTATTCAGAAATAGGTTGAGATCCATTTTCTGAATTGCAAAGCTACTTGATGCAACTGAGCTCTGAGGGCACAGCCTCTGGACTTTATTGCCAGGCCTGCATCACACAGCATGGACAAGTCATAAAGGGTTTCTGAGAGTGGGGCAGGGTATGCCTTCAAGAGGGTGTGTCCACAGCCCACTCCCACCCTTCTTGGGCCTCTAGGTCCTTCTGCCTTACTCTGCTATCCAATTTTCCAATTTGCTTTTTAACATACAATGTATTTACCTTAATGAATGCTTCTCTTCCTTCATCTGTAATCCAGCTATTACCTGGGTCCCCTTCAATGCCTGGAGACCTTTATTTTGGTCTCACCTTGTCTACTACCTCGCTAGTGTGAACTACTGCCTGGAAATTTTGCTTGTGCTCAGATTTTACACTCAGGATCACATATACCTTCAGATCCTACTTACAGGGACCCAGGTACAGAACTTAAAGTTCCTTTAGATTTATTTAAGGTTTTGTGAAGAGTAAAGAACAAATTTTAGTTTTTTCAGTAAGTTACAAATAAAATAAAAGCTTAAAATATCAACTCCCATATTTTACACTTATCTAACCCCTGCCCGAGGTTGTAATGAAACTCTCCCCAGAGCTTTTCAGGCAGCAGTGGAGGTGGCCAAGGTGGCATTTGGTAGAGTAGGATCCCCATGCGACCAACTGAGGGACCTCACCCCACAGAAGTCTGGTCCCAGATCACACACTGGTCTTGGTTGTACTGTCTCCAAGGAGGAGTGTTTTACAAAAGCTCTGGTAGAATAATGTGCAGCTCTTTGAGGAGACTCATTGGAGACAAGTCATTGGTTTAGGGTTCTGATACATTTCCAGTTTTCTAGGGATGGTCCCAGTGCTCTCTCACTCCCTTCCTGGTCACCAGCCCTGGGCTGAGCCACATGGGTGCAGCTGTTGTCAGGACCCCCAAAAGGAGTCTGGTTCAAATGAAAGTGATGTCGGCTCTCAGCACAGTCAGCACCCCTCTTGACTTAGTTGTAGACATAACAGCGTACCTTGTAGTTGTGTGGAGTCTCCCTGAGCTCTGACCATCATGAGTCCAGTGGACTTCTGTGCCATGCGGGTTCCCAAGTGCTGCAGGTGGACGGATTGGCAAGGAAGGGCAGGTGTTCACCCGTGTGCATCCTCTGGGCTTATGCATATGCTCCATTGCCACCTTGGACTTCTCTTATGAACCACATTCTTAGATAAAATTACTAAGAATCTCAAAATGGTGACGTGGAGCATTAAACCCAGCACTGAGTGCTCCTGAGTGTGTCCCCTATGTGACAGCACCGGTGGTATTCCCATGAAGCTGGTATGTGGCTCTGTTCCTCACATAGGTCCACATTCTGGTCTTAGCACATTTTGACTGTGTGAACTTGAAGGTGTTAGTTAACCTCTTAGAAGCTCAGTTTTCTCACTGGTAAATTAGGAAGGCACATAGTGCTTATTTTGAGCATCATTATAAACATTTTGTCAGTGTCTATCATGGTATTGGCCAATAGAAATAAAATGTGAGTCAGAAAACCCATTTCCAATCCAATGTACTTTTACATTTTCTTCTGGTCACCTTTATAGAGCTCAGTCTCTGATGTTTTCCAGGTCTTTCCTCAAAAGTCACCAACATGGAAAGTTCTTCCGAGACCATTGGGACTGTAGGAAGTACAATTCTAAGATGACTGCATGACCTCCAACCCCCTGGTGTACCTCCTTGGGTAGATGGGACCTTTGATTCAGCAGAATCTGACTCCCTTGATCAGACTCTAGGCCTTGAGTCTGTGTGAAGTTTACCCTTGGTGGGTCATTGCAGACATTGTCCCTCTGCCTCCATGGGTTGGGCAGCTGGAGGAACTGATTTCTGCCAACAACACATGAGTTTGGAAGAGGACCCCAAGCCTCAGATTCGACCCAGCCTGGCTGACTCTATGACTATAGCCTTGTGAGACTTAAGCAGAGAATGCAGTGAACTGTAGGCCTTGATTCCTGACCAGTGGTAATGTGAGATAATATGTTTGTGTTGCTTTAAGCCATGAAGTTGGAGGAGATTTGTTATGGCTCAACAGAAAGCTAATATAATGCCTAAAATACACTGTCTACCAGCATCCTCTATTCCTCTCTCCTGTGTTATTTTTGTTCAGAAAACTTTTGCTACCTGAAACCACATTATGCATTCGTTCACTGGCTTAGTCTGACTGTCCCAGTGGATCATGATCTCCACAGGGGAAGGGACTGTGTCTCGCTTTCTACTGAATTCCCAGCTTCTCGGCCAGTGCTTGGCACCCAACAGGTGGTAATAAATACTTGTTGAATGAACTCACAGACAAATATATGTGTACGTTCAGTGTTTACCTAATTTTATAAATAATTCTTATAGGTGTACTTCATTTCCAGCAAACTTGGTGTGGGAAGTCACAATTTATCTATAAAAAAAGATTTTAGTGTTGGTTTTTATTTTCTAAAGGAATATAAAATGCAAAACAATGACTAATACATGCTACTTAGGTGCAACTTTTCAGGAGAATGTGTATTGTGTGAAGCAAGGTAAAGCCAGCTGTTTAAGAGCCTCATTCGTTTCTTTGAACAAATGTCACCATATTCTAGCATCAAACATACAGGAACAGATAACCTTGGCCATATGCGCTGGTGGAAGGACATCTCAGTTAGAGTGTAATGAATGGTGGGATGATCAACACGCTGCCAATGCAATTCAGTGGCTCTCACTAACAAAATTACTTTAAAAACATTTCAGTGATGGTGGTGCCCAGGACAGTTTAATGTATTATTTAAAATTGTTCTAATGGTGCATTGCTTTATGAATTAAAAATTTATACCCAAACGAAGATGGACAAAATAAGCTTGCTAATACCTAATCCTGTCCCCTATTGGTTCATTTGTGATGCTTGGTGATGTATTAGGACACTCATTTTCACTTATTTTTGAGGGGGGAATATAACAGATAAAGCCAGAAACAAAAGAAAAGAAGAGACATTTGCGGCTCTAAGGTGTCCCTGTCGGCAGTGGAACCCAAGACTGCTGTCTGCTGGGAAGATGTCTCTTGGCATCATGGCCAGTGCTCTGGGGTGCAGAACTCAGATGGGTGCCTTCCACTGGCCACCCAGCTATGTCCCCTTGGCCTGCAGTGACCAGCAGCAACACTGGGACAGTGTAGATTTGTCCTAAAATCCTGAGACATTTCTCACACCACAGATGAAATTAAGGAAGCATGGATTTGTGGGGTTGGGTTCAGGTCTCTGGCTCCTAGGCTACCCTGGTTAGCCTCTAGCCATGAGGTATTGGTCTCACGTCCAGCAAGGGGAGCATGGGGTCTGGTGGTGTGAAGCAGCCCTGGGGTGGATGAAGAAACATTCATCTAGACCAGTAGAAAAGGGAGAGTTGGGCAGCTTGGCAGGGGAGATTCAAGGCAAGACAGCAGCTGGTGGAGCAGGGAGTCCCATACTAGCATGGGAATAAGCAGAGAGGAACAACTGGGGAGCAAGTCAGACCACACAATCCAGGGTTCCAGTGCAGGAAAATAAAGGCTCAAAACCTCTGACTGAAAAAACCCGTGGGGGGGGGCGGTTGAGGAGGCAGGAGAAACTTCCAGCTTCACAGGAGAGTTTGTTGGAGAGACCCACAGGGTCTAAATGTACACAAATCCACCCAGTTGGGAATCCACAGCAGAAGCACCTAGTTTGCTTGTGGGTAGCGGTGGAAGTGACTGAAAGCCAGCAGAGAGCTGAACAAGAGGCCCTGTCTCCTCTTGGACCCCTCCCCCACTTACAGTGACACAGCGAAGTGATGTGGGTTGCCCTGCCAGATGGAATACCTGAGGCTCCGCCCCTTACTACATAACAGGCATGTCAAGACAAAAGAAAAAAATGGCCCAATGAAAGAACAGACCAAAACTTAAAAAGTAGAACTAAGACATGAAGAGATAGCCAACCTACCAGATGCACCTTTCAAAACACTGATAATTAGGATGCTCACAGAATTGGTTGAGTATGGTCACAAAATAGAGGAAAAAGTAAAAGCTCCCAAAAGTAAAATAAAGAAATGTACAAGTAACTTACAGTGAAGGGAAGAAAACTGGGACTCAGATCAACAGTTTGGGGCAAAAGGGAGAAATAAACATTCAACTAGAGCAGAACGAGGAAACAAGAATTCAGAAAAAATGAAAAGAGGCTTAGGAACCTTCTGGGACAACTTTAAACATTCCAACATCTGAATCATAGGGTTGCCAGAAGGAGAAGAGGAAGAGCAAGAAATTGAAAACTTATTTGAAAACATAATGAAGGAGAACTTCCCCAATCTGGCAAAGGAAATAGACTTTCAGGAAGTCTAGAAAGCGCAGAGAGACCCAAAGAAGTTGGACCCCAGGAAGTACAAACCAAGGTATATCATAATTACATTACCCAAGGTTAAAATAAAGATAAGAAAAAGATCTTAAAAGCAGCAAGAGAAAAGGAGACTGTTACCTATAACGGAGTTCCCATAAGACCATCAGCTGATTTCTCAAAAGAAATCTTGCAGGCAAGAAGGGGCTGGGAAGAAGTATTCAAAGATTACTTTATCCAGCAAACCTATTATTTAGAATGGAAGGGCAGATAAAGTGCTTATCCCAGCTAAGGTCGAGTTAAAGGAGTTCATCATCACCAAGACCTTATATGAAATTTTCAAGGGGCTTATCTAAGAAAAAGAAGAACAAAAATATGAAGAGTAAAATGACAACAAACTCACACCTATCAACAACTGAACCTAAAAAAACAAAAGCAGAACCAAACTAAGCAAACAAGTAGAACAGGAACAGATTTACAGAAATAGAGATCACATGGAGGGTTATCGGTGGGGAGGGGGAGGGAGAAGAATGAGGGGAAAGGTACAGGGAATAAGAAGCATAAATTGTAGGTACAAAATAGACAGGGGGAGGTTAAGAATAGTGTAGGAAGCCCTGGCTGGTGTAGCTCATTGGATTGAGGTCGGGCCTGCGAACCAGACAATCGCGGTTCGATTCCCAGTCAGGGCACATGCCTGGGTTGCAGGCTGATTCCCTGCAGGCCAATTCCCAGCAGGGGATTCCCAAAGGGCAACCACAGATTGATGTTTCTCTCCCTCTCTCCTTCCCTTCCCCTCTAATGATAAATAAATAAATTAAAAAAAAAGAATAGTGTAGGAAATAGAGAAGCCAAAGAATTTATATGACCCATGGACATGAACTAAAGTTGGGGAATGCTGGGGGGAATGGTGAAACCAGCTGAAGTGAGGCAAAGGGGAAAATATGGGACAACTGTAATAGCATAATCAATCAAATACACTTAAAATAAACACAAATAGCATTATGACTTGCTTGTGATTAAAGGCTAGTCTCTTGCATGAAAATGTTTATTTCAAAAAATAGCTTAAAAGCTACACAACTATTATGATGAGGTATCAAAACTATTTCACTCTTGGTGAAGCTGTACCAAGAGTGAAGGGATGGGTGTGAGAGAGGCGTAAATTATTGAGTTCAAAGCAGTGGAGAACCCTTGCTTTGAACAGAATTAAACATTAAGCAGCACTAGTAGAATAGTTGTTACTTGCTTTTGAATTGGTACCTTCTTCTTCCTTTTTCTCCATTTTTAACTCCCATTCTTTAATTCTGGATATTTATTGTCACTTAGCTAGCAAAGGTACATGAATTCCTTTTCCTTATTTTCATTGTAAAGGGTTTCTTTTGCTGATAAATTAACACGAAAAACATTTTTAATATTTTATTTATTTATTTATTTTTTATTTTTAGAGAGAGGGCAAGAGAAAGAGAAAGAGAGGGAGAGAAACATCAATGTGATTTTCTATCATGTGGCCCCCACTGGGGAGCTGACTCGTGACCCAAGCATGTGCCCTGACTGGGAATCAAACCAGTGACCTTTTGATTCACAACCGAGCTCAATCCACTGAGCTACAGCAGCCAGGGCTAACACTAAAACCATTTTTAACTCAAGTCTAAACAAGACAAACACATGGATTAGATTGATTTGGCTGTAGACATGGCTTTAAGACTGGGCTGTGGCAGTGGTTGAACAAGGAGAGGGAGAGAAAAA